AAACTCCCACAGCGCATGCTCCCCGCCCTCACTGAACAGCCGTATAAAAAAAGCGCCCCCTCCCTGTTGGCGTGGATCCACGTGCCCTGTCTTTGGGGTTCGTGGGTCACCTGGGGACGCAGAATAAAACCGCTCCTTTCTTCCTTTTCTCATCAACTCTCTTTATTTCCTACGCCGCCTCCTGAGCCACCTAACCTAACAGTGGGCAGTTATGTCCTAGGCCGGTATCTTCACTGACAAGGTCAAGCTTGGCCTTCACTGAGCCTGTCTGTCTTTTTGCATCTATGACAACATGTCCTTGAAATGTCCGGTACCGTGTAACTTCCCTTTTTCCGGAGCCCTCGGGGCACAACCTAATGTGCTGGGCGCCAGGACAGAGACCACAAATTCCTTCACTGTTACCTTGTTCCTGCATCCACTTAAGTATTGTCTATCATTCCGCTTTTTATCCAATCCCAGGGTTTCTCCCGCCTCTCTAGCCTATCACCAGTGGATTTCATGTGACCCACCTACGTCACTCCTTGATTGCGATGCATGAACGCAGAGGTAACCGATAATCCGCTGAGGTTCTGCTTCCTGGAAACCGTGGACAGTTTGGCTCAAATAAACTCACAAAACTTCTTCACAGGCCTGAGTGTTTTTATGTGAACACACGTGTCCATCTCTGAGCAGACGCCTGTTCCCCACATTCTGGCTGCTGTGGACACGGGTGTGTGGCTGTTGTGATTACAATGAGTTTATTAGATGGGACGATGCCCGAGGGGCCTGGGGACGAAGGAGAGGGCCTGGCACCCACTGGACAGCACTGCACCAGCACAGAGGCCGCTGGGGATCCCCTCGGCCCTGGCCGCCCAGAGCCACACGGGGCATCAGTGGGAAGAGGGGGGGCAGGCAGAAGTGGAGGAAAATGGACCAGCACAGAGGTCCCTGAGGCCTGCCAGCAGGAGCCAGGCCTTCCAGGGGTCAGGCAGGGCGGAGACCTTTCCTGGAAGCTAACAGGCCCCAGGCAGTAGGTAACCTCAGCCCCAGCTGGCGAGGGGTCCTGGTGCAGGGAAGATGGGCTCAGCCGTCAGAACGTGCGAGGGGAGCCTGAGATCCAGCTCCCTTCCTCACTGAGCCAGTGTCCCAGAATCATCTGAACCCCCCCCGAGGATGGCCCGTGGCATTGTCCTGGGACCTGGGCTCCTGCTGCCGGGAGCCCCCCGTCCCCCACCCCCACCTCACTCAGGCAGGGCCCAGGGTAGGAGGCAAGGCTGGCCCTTCCCCCAGATGCCAGCTCGGCAGACGGGTCAAAGGCTGAGAGGGAGCCTCAGGGAGAGGCCAAGCCAGACGCCACACCCAGGAGGCCCTCCCCAGGTGCGGAAGGAGAGACAATCAGCTCCCCGCGGGCTTTGGCCATTTCCGGAGGAATTCCCCAGGAGCCTGGGGGAGGGGAACATGACTCAGCCCACCTCCCCAGGGCCCAGGAGACTGCAGCCCAGGGCCCAGGAGGAAAGGCCCCATGTTCTCAAGGCTCTGGGGGTGCTTCAGCCCCTGGAGCCAGGGAGGACCCCTTGGAAGGGGTGGGAGGGGGCCCTCAGGTGGAATGTCGGGGAGCATCCTCTCTTGGGGGCACCCCGAGAAACAGAACTGCAGGAGGTGATGCCCGAGGCCCTCAGGGGAGCAGCAGGCAGGAGTGGACCCCCGGGCCATGCGTCCAGGAGCAGGGGCCCTCACCCCCACAGTCAGCGGCTCCTGGGCCGGGGCAGGATCTGTCCTGGATGCTCAGCCTGTGTCAGACAAGCACAGAGCGCAGCAGGAAATTCCAGGAGAGCTTCTCCACAACCTCCCCAGGCCGCTCACCCCCCAGGCAGTGGCTCCTCGTTTTGGGAAGGACCTGCCCCTGGAATGGTTAATCTGCGACTCTGCTGACAGCCAATCACAGGGCCCAGCAGGAAATACCTGGGAGAGAGCCTGTGCCTAGCCCCAGTCTGGCCCCAGGCAGCCCTCTCCGCCCGCAGCCGGCAGCCGCCCCAGTGTGCCTGCCTCCGTGGCAGTGGCTTCGGCATGGCGGGCGGGCCCCCTCTGAGGCCAGGGCTGCTGCTGACGGTGCTGGTGGCGACCGTGGCGGCAGCCCAGCCTGCTCACCTGCTGACTTCGAGGTCCTCGGCCCAGGGCGCTCTGGACCGCGTGGCTCTGGGCGGCCTGTTAAATACGCTTGCGGCCCGTGTGCACTGCTCCTCGGGGCCGTGTGGAAAGGTAAGCGCCCCACCCCCACCCAACAGGTCGCCTTGGGCCCGGCCCTGCCTGCTCCTCCCCAGGGACAAACTCCAGAAGGCGGGCAGAGGCCAAGTGCCCCCGGGGCTCCAGCCCAGCTTTCTCCTGCCTGGGAGCGGGCTGGGACCCGAAGCTCTGGGGACCCAGGGCCACCTCTCTCGTCGGCCCCAGACAGTGTTTCCAGGGAGAAACCACCTGGAAGGGGGGACCACTGCCTGGGACCCCAGTGTGTGCACCCCTGTAATTGAGGGGAGTGTGTGGGAGCAATGGATGGGGGATGGGGGTGGGGAAGCAGCAGCTCCCCAGGACCCCCAGGTGCCTGGCCCCGCTCACCTGTCTCTGCCCACAGTGCCTGTCTGTGGAAGGCCTCCTGGCGCTGGGCCGGCCTGAGGGGCTGGGGCCAACCCCAGTGTCCGTCCTGGAGCCCGAGCACATCCCCCGCCTCAGTGCGGCCGCTGCCCTCTACCTCAGCGACCCTGAGGGCACCTGTGAGGACATCCGGGCTGGCCGCTGGGCCTCCCGGGCTGACCACCTTCTGGCCCTGCTCGAGGGCCCCCAGGCCCTGATCCCAGGCCTGAGCAGGCTGCTGCGGAGGATTCAGGTCCGGACCGCCGGCCTGCCCTCCACAGAGGAGGTGAGGGCCAAGGGGGACCGGACCGAAGGGAGGGGACCCACTCCGAGGGTGGGCTTGGCTGGGGGTCACCTTGGGTGTTCACCACTGAGTGGGGCAGGGGCTTTGGGAGCCCCTGGAGGGGACAGGGAACAGAACGGGCTCCTGGGGCCCCAGGAGAGGAGCTCAGCTCAGGCCTCAGGTGAGCAGGAGGCGGGGGAGGAGACTCTGGGCTAGACTCTGGGGGCACTGGGGGCGGTGGTGATGCTGGGGGCCAGGAGGGCCGCCGGAGTGCAGCTGAGGCCCTGCCCCTCCCCCAGGCCTGCGTGGACCTGTGCCCCCTGGGAGGGCAAGGCCGGAGCCCACACAGACTGGTTCTGTCCCCTTGGGCAGAGCTGGCGGCGCTGATGCAGCACCTGGGGGTGGGCGGCACGGCCGTGAGCCACGGGGACCACAGCGACGACCATCACCACCATCGTCTGAGAAAGAGGGCCGACCTCGCCCCCTCCAACAGCAGCACCAGTGTGTGGGACACAGTGAGCAGCCCGGGGCCATGGTCCTGGGGATGGGGGTCCCCCAGGTTGCTCCAGTCCTAACCTCCAGGCCTGCCCCCTCCCAGGTTTGCCTGAATGCCAGGGACGTGATGGCCGTGTACGGGCTGCCTGAGCAGACGGGGGTGTCCCCAGAGGCGTGGGCCCTACTGAGCCCTGCGCTGCTCCAGCAGCAGCTGAGTGGGGCCTGCAGCCCACAGCCCAGCCACCCCGCCCAGGACCAGCTCAGCCAGGCGGAGAGTGAGTGCCTGTCCCCCCAAGTCAGCCCGCCCGCTGTGCCGAGGGGGGCTGGCCTCATGGCGGAGGGGCTGCCCAGGGAGGAGGGAGTGGGTGCTGGGCTGTGGGAGAAGACAGTGGAGTGGAGGGGTCACAGGAAAGTGTGGGAGGCCTGGAAGGGAGGGGGTTGGAGCTTTAAGGAGGAGAGAGAGGTCAGTGTGAGCAGAGGCCTGGCCAGTCCCTGACCACCTACACCTGGTGAGTCCCTGCTCACTCCCTGGGAAGGCCTCACTGGGTCCTCACTGCCCCCCACCCCCCGCAGAGTACTTGTACGGCTCCCTGGCCACCCTGCTCATCTGCCTCGCCTCGGTTTTCGGCCTCCTGCTGCTCATCGGCACCACCTGCAGCAGGGCCACCCACTACGTCATCCAGACCTTCCTGGGCCTGGCCGTGGGCGCGCTCACCGGAGACGCCCTCCTGCACTTGACGCCCAAGGTCAGCCCGGCTGGCCAGGACCCTCCCTCCCCACCCCAGGGACTCCCCTGCATGGTCCTCCTTCCAGGCCCACTCTCCTGGGGCCCTTCCCTGAACCCTAACCTCTCTTCTTCATCTGTGGGGGGGAGACTGAGGCAGCCAGCCCCGTGCCCCTGCCCCACTCCCAGGTCCTAGGGCTGCACCAGCATGGTGGGCACAGTGCACTTGGAGGGGACCATGATGACCACAGCACACAGCCCATCTGGCGCCTCCTGGTGGCACTCGGCGGCCTGTACACCTTCTTCCTGTTCGAGAAGCTCTGTGACCTCCTGCTGCCCCAGGAGGTCAGGCTCGTGGGGACTGGGTAGGGAGGCGGGTGGGGAGGGAGCACAGCGGGCCCTAAGCTGTTGTCCCCACAGGACATGAAGGAGGAGCCCTGCAGCCACGGTGACCGCCACGGCCACAGCCACGGCATGTCTCTGCAGCTGGCGCCCAGGGAGCTCCGCCAGCCCAAGCAGCCCCATGAGAGCTCCCGTGCAGACCTGGTGAGCCTCCCCTTCCAGTGCCTGCACCCCCAGCCCCACCCAGGCTCCCACTGCACCCTTCAGGGGCTCATCCACATGCCCCCACCCCACCCCTGCCAGGTGGTGGAGGCGAGCCCTGAACTGCTGAGCCCCGGGCCGCGGAGACTGAGT